AAGGCCACGCTTTTGAAAAAAGAAAAACAAGAATAAGCCCTGTTGCTCTTTAAGGACAGAGGAAGGAGCTGAGGCTGCTGGGGACTTTCCCACGTTGGCCTGTATTCCCTAAAGCAACTTCCCAGCAGCAGCATGGTGTAGTTCTAGGTGAGGGTCTCACCTTTTGTCACCCATGCTTCAATGTACTCTATTCTCCGTTCGAGGGCTGTCAATTTCTCGTTTAGTGTTGCAAGTCTTGAACGACAAGACATATCAAACGAGTTGAGAAAGTCCGCGATTTTCTTAATGCTGCTGCTGATGACTTCTATGTATTCCCGGTTCGCCCAGTCCTGGTGAATCTCCCGCTGCACCGGATCCTCTTGACCCGCCATTGCTGCCACCTGACGAGGAGCCCCGCCTGCACCCTGTTGATGGGAATGCAATGTGGTACAGCCACTGTGGAAAAGAGTAAGGCAGTGCCTCAGAAAGTTAAAAACAGAACTACCCTATTAACAGCAATCCCACTTCTGGGTATATATATAAAAGAATTGAAAGCAGGCGATTCCCATATCAATTAATGAGTTGGATATGATAATTTTCATGAGTTCATTTTGTTTGAAAAAGAATCACAATATATCTTTTTAAAAAAACATACTTTAACAAATAAGACTGTTTTGTTCTCATGAATCATCAACACAATGCAACTTCTTTAAAGACTGTCTTGTAAGCATTAGGTTTATGAACTATGAGAACAGGGGGGCGCCTGGGTGGCTCAGTCGGTTAAGTGGCTGCCTTCGGCTCAAGGCCTTGATCCCAAGGTACTGGGATCGAGCCCCACATCGGGCTCCCTGCCCAGCTTCTCCCCTCCCTCTCCCTCTTCCCCCATCCCCCTGCTCATGCTCTCTCTCACTATCTCTCTCTCTCTCAAATTAAATCTTAAAAAAAAAAAAAAAAGAATTGAAATCAGGGACTCAAACAGATATTTGTACACCTGTGTTCATGGCCTATGCCTCAACAGCCAATACATGGAAGTAACCCATATGTCCGTTGACAGATAAGCAGATAAAATATGGTATGCACACATAATGGAATATTATTCTGCCTTAAAAACAAAGGAAGTTCTGGCACAGGCTACAATATGGAGGAAACTTAAAGACATTTATGCTAAGTGAAATAAGCCAGTCACAAGAAGACATATACTGTATAATGCCACTTACATGAGGTAAATGGAATAATGAAACTCACAGGACAAATACAATGGGAGTTGCCAGGGGCTGGGATCAGGGAGGAATGGGGAGTTGTTCAGCGGGTATGAAAAATTTCTGGAGATTGGTTGCCAAACAATGTCAATATACTTGACACTATTGAACTCTACACCTTAAAACGATTATCATGGTAAATTTCGTTATGTGTATTTACTTACCACAATTAAAAATTCGTTAAAAAATACATGTGATAGAACTGCCAATAAATTTTGGAAAACTAAAAATATGAGAAAAGTCTAATAAATCTGGATTTCTGAAACAAGATAGCTGGAGCACTATCCATTGTGATAGAAACTAATATTTTTCGTATCTAGCTGAAATTATTTAAGAGATGTAAAAGATTTTTAAAATATTTGCACTATGAGCTTCCTTATTTACAACTCTCAAAATGATATTTCTTTGGAAAGCTGGAAATCCAACACAAAATTATCCAAAATATTAACTGTACTGCCTATAACATTGCAAACTCATCTAAAAGTAAAGAAAGGTACAAGAAATCTTCAAATTTTGAATCGATCGATTTTTATATTCTTAGGAAGTTTGGGCATTGTACAGGCAATGGTTTGGTGGCTTAATTGAAGATCTTTCTTCAACTTGTAAAATCTCATTTTTAGGCTTTCCCTCATAATTTAGTAACAAAATTTCCCCAACTGTAATAATTTTTTGTGTAGCGTTTCACCATCTAAAAACAGTTTTCTTTTCTTGTGCAAGAATCCAAGGCATTTTACAGAAGTCTAAATTTACAAGCCAGATTCTGTTAAAAATGCTTTAGAAATGTTTTTTCATCATTAAGTTCTGATGTCAGACAATTTTACTGATTCTTTTTTGACTTTTGTGTAGAAACTCTTTATCAAAAAAAAAACCTCTCAAATTCACTATATATTTGCTGAAAATGTCTCTTAACGTTGTTTACAATCTTTAGAAGAAAAAATAACTTTAGATTTTGCTCTGTGGTGGCAAATGATAATTGCCCTTCATTTTGAAAGTGGAGACATACTCTTTTGTCTTATTTTTCCCTTTACTGGTCTGGTGTAATACTAGCTTCTACACCTCCACTCAATTTTGCATCACTACTATGCTGTCATTTAACTTAAAAAATTGTCTATACTTAATTTATAAGCTAACAAATAATTAACTGAAATAAGTATTTTAATTCGAATACCACCTATGATTTATATGGGTACTACTGTAATTCATGCTATCTGCATAAAATGCTCAAACATGTTACTATGTTACATCAGTGAATAAAAGAAATAATTACTCAACCTGAATAAAATCTGCTGACACTGACTAGACAGGTGATGTATTTTCACGCAATATTGGAAAAAATCACATATACCCCATATGTGAAATATAACAGCACAGCAATATCTTACATAATGCAACAATTCAAGTGACATACAATCTTACCAAAACAATGAAGTTGTGTTTAGGGGAAAAGTATTTTTTTTTACACTGTCTTAGTTTATAAATCAAAAATAATTTAAATGAAATTCAAATTTCAGTTCCTCGGTAGCTACACTTCAAGGGCTCAGATGCCTTATATTGAACAGCACTGATCTAGATTTCAGTGAACTTTTTCACTAGTTGCTTTATGCAATTGGTAAATCACCGTAAACACAAATAAAGTTAATAATTTCATTGAGTTGTAGGGCGCCTGAGTGGCTCAGTCGTTGGGCGTCAGCCTTTGGCTCAGGTCATGGTCCCAGGGTCCTGGGATCAAGCCCCACATCGGGCTCCCTGCTCAGCGGGGAGTCTGCTTCTCCCTCTCCCACTCCCCCTGCTTGTGTTCCCTCTCTCGCTGTGTTGCTGTCTGTTAAATAAATAATAAAATCTTTAAAAAAAAAGTTTCATTCAGTTGAAAGTTTTCCCTTTAGTGGTTGTTAGAGCATCAGCAACCATATGCCCAAGGTTCATCCTTCTCCTGTACTTTATCAGGGTAAAATTACCAAAATTTGGGGAAGTAAGGATAAAAATTGGGTGACCGTTAAGTCCTACTTGCCTAGGGCAGTCCAGTTATGTCTGTTTCCCAAGTTAATTATTAATGTCATTTCATTTTCAAAAATTTCTCATTTTGGATGATAAATACTGCACATGTTCCAGACATAAGGCAAAGTACTTTAAAATCTCTGCTAGGCAACAAGCACTGTATATTCAGTAAGCTTCAAAATCCAGTTAAAACAGATAGTTTCCACGAAACTATTTGAGACAGCCCAATGAGGACAGAGAACCAAGTAGCCTTGCTACCTGATAGCACTTTTCCAAGAACACATCCAAAGAGGAATATCTAGACTGTGACTACACATGTTATCGATGTTTTACCTAAGCACATTAGCAAATTTCTCTCTCTTCTTTGGTAGGAAAACTTGGTAATAATGTTTTAAAATTTGCTTTTTGCCTTCACTAAAGAGCACACATATTATACCAAGTATAATACAAACCTAGACCAAAAGGGGAGAAGTCCAGTTTCCATAAATTAAAGCTTTCGATTAGAAAGTACATTTTAAAAAATAAATATAGTTTAAAACTTACAAATCTAGATACTTTGTAACAAGTTGTTAAATTATTGCACTGGAGACTAGCCTAACAAAATATAGAAGAGAGACATATCGATTATTTACATGTAAATTACTTCTCTTAGTTGCTGGTATTAGTTAGTTCTCTTAAATGAGGAAATCTAATATACATTAAAGATTAGCTATATGACTGGTATTCTACTAACAAAGCATCATATCACATTTACCAACTTTAAGTTTTATAACAACCCTGAGAAGTAGCTATATTATTCACATGGTATAGGTAGAGAAACTGATGCTCAGAGAGGGGAAGTAACTTCCTTTAAGTCACAAAGCTCGTGAGTGGAAGAGATGGACATTTTATAAACTCTGCATAATGTCCTTCCAGGCATAAGGTGCAAGGTTCATGAGATCCATAAGTCATGTTTTGAGAGAGAGAATGTGAGTAGTGTGACCTCAGTGGCTCCCTGGTTTCTTACTTTTCTAGAAAGAACTTAAGAGTCCTGGCTTCCCAGAATCTAGGATACTCCCCAAACTCCCATTTCTATATGCAATAAAATCTAGACACTGAGAGGCTGGATAAAAGTTAAATTATCCAAGCTTCCTAATATCCTCACCCATCCCCCTTCCTTCCCCAAAACCCAACAACCTTTAACCATACTTTAAACAAGTGTTAGTCCAGGGACACCTGGGTGGCTCAGTCAGTTAAGCATCTGCCTTTGGCTCAGGTCATGATCCCAGAGTCTGGCATCTGGCTCCCCATTCAGTGGGGCATCTACCTCTCCCTCTGAGCCTCCCCCTTCTCATGCTCTCTCCCTCTCTCTCTCTCACACACACTCTCTCTCAAATAAATAAATAAAATCCTTAAAAAAAAAAAAACAAGTGTTAGTCTGGTAAGAATATCATTACATCATTAATTCAGGTATCAATTAACTTGCAGTATATGATAAAGCTTTTGGAACTGGGCTTAACAATTCTATAATGGAGACATCAAAGAGGGGTTTGTGCTATAAAAGAGGGTAGTTGGAAAAGTATGGATCTGGGAATGAAGCAGGAATGAATCAGAATCTTGACTGCCAATTATACATTGTGTTTCCTTAGAGAAGTTACTTAATTTTTCAAAGCTTCGGTTTTCTTACCTGAAAATGGTAATATTCCCTAACTCACAGAATTATTTAAACAGTCAAATGCTATCACCTCCTGCAATTTTAATAGTATTAACATCTCCTTTTATATTTAGATCCCAAATGTCCTACCTTCTCAAAGTGATGTCTTTCGTTTTAATTCTTGGGACTACTCAAGGTGCCTTTCAACATCGAAGAGCTAGGAACCCTGAAGCGACCATGAACATTGTAAGTTGCTAGGAAGTAAATGCTAAGCTGCCAAAATAACAGGGGATGCTACTCTTTAATTGGGGAGGGGGGAGCTTTTATTTTAATAGATCTGCAGTCTATATATTCATTTACTATTCTGTAGCTCACAGTTTCCCCTTCACCTTTATTTTGTCCCTGGATGAAAACATATATACATACATTTAAATACCTTTATGGAGGACTTATAAATTCTCTTTTGTATACATGTACACACATACAAATTCCAGATATATGTACACACATATATATTCCAGATATAAGCTTAGCTATAAGCAGAGACATGCAAACATTTGTGGATAAGTATGTATTTTTAAATTGTATATGGCTGAGTAGGTAAAAGTTTGAGTGATTAGTAGTTAGGAAAAAAGTAATGTATAAGACTGATGCTTAGATGTTCTAAAATATCAATTACTGAATGAATCAGTGAACTAGTAGAAGAAATAGTCCTGAGGCTGAGAGACAATACAAAGGTCCATTATTACATTAATAGGTTAGATTATTATCAGGTTCCATTAACTGACCAGAAATTGTATCCTAAAAGGCTTCCTTTTTCTTTATGTAGAGCCAAATTATTTCCTATTGGGGCTACCCAGATGAAGTATATGATATTGTAACTGAAGATGGTTACATCCTTGGCCTTTATAGAATTCCTTATGGGAAGACAAACAATGACAGTTCAGGTAATATTCAATTCAGAAAAATTTGGTGACTGGGCCCTGAAGGCCTTAACTCTTCCATTTCTTCTTAGTGAGTTTCGGACGAGAAAAGAATTTAAAGATTAAGCGTATAGTTAACTTCTCCTACATGTCTCTACATGTCACTAGAAGAGAGCCAGGTTCTCCCCTGGCTTCCTGTTCACAAGGTGGTTTTAGAGTGTGATGGAAATTAAGCTGTTCCAAGTGTTCTTTGTGGGTCACTTTACTCATTTCTGTTGATTCTCTCCAATCTCATTGTTTCAGGAGGGGTTAGAAATGGTAACATGGTAACATAGGTTTGAAAAACGGCTGGTAAAAAGTCCTTCCTTGTCTTTAGGGCTGTCTCTTCTAGTAATAACAAAGAGATCAGGTTGGTAGCAAACTCTGGTTCTTTAACCAACAATAGGTACATCATTATCCGCAAATGAAGTGAAAAAAATAAAGCACTCGAATTTGTCCCTAGGGTTATAATCCTGTATCGGCCACTTCCTAGCAGAATCTGTAATGGATTACTTTTCCTTATTCATCTAATTGCTCAAATAAAAGCCAGCATTTTTTTTTTTTTTTTTTTTAGTTTTCTCTTTAGATTTTCTCCTTGAAAAGAATGTTTCTCATATTATAAAATACCTTCTCAAGTTCTCATTTTAAACATTAAAGTATATTTCACGGAAGATACTAATTTGAAACAACCTCAATCAATGTAATTTTGGATCCTTATAAAGGTCAGCGCTACTAGAGAGAAAATGTTAACATATACTTAACATAATTATAGTAATCATTTTTCACGGTATGACCTAGTATCATGAATACTGTGATAAAATATTGAAAGGTAATTTAAAAATAAAGTAAGTGCTTCAGAGTTGTGTGGAAATCAGGGGAGGGCAGGGGAAGGAGCTAAGGAAGGATGTGGCTCAGCTAAGTCCAGCTGGAGTCTGATCTCAGGGGAGCGCATGGATCCAGGAACTGCAATACCGAAGTGGTCCTGCCTTGAAGTTAGGCAGCTAGCCTTTTGCATTGCCTCAGCAGTTAGTCATTGCTTAAGGTTTCTCGTAGAAAGAGGTGTATTCTCACAGGTGAGGCAATTGCCATTTTCCTGGGGGGCAATCCTACAGAGAGAGGGGCAATAATGAACACTTAGAAAGCAACACCCACAACAGCTAGGAGCATGCTCCACCTGCTTAGGAAAGGAAGTCTAGGTGGGGCACTAAAATAACAGAGTGCACTTCTTGCATTACTCAGATCCATTTGTTTTTCACATGAAGCTTATTTTATCCAGGTACAGGTTTTCCAGAACTTGGATAGGTCAGAATTCCTGGGGAAACTTGCAAGAGGAAGGTGAGTGGAACAGAGTATGACATCTGCCATTGCAACTGACCCTAACGCCATGGTTGGTACTCATAAATTCTGACCTCTACTACCCACTATAGACTCCTCTCCCTCTCTGCCATGTCCCCTGATGTGGCAAGCCAGGCCCTTATCCTGAAGGGCTACTGAGCCCAAAACAGGTCATGGTTGCAGTACTTGTACATTTCACAGGTAAAGCAAGGCATGGGAGTAACAAAAGATGTCCCAGTGAATCACGTGAATGCCAAATATGTTTTTCCATCTTCATTCTGTATCAGAGGCCCTACCTTGTCATGGTGATCAGGGCCAATTATTCCTGCCAATAGAGCAATTCCTTTCTTTGCCACCCCATCCCGCCCCACGGTCTTCTATCATGAGGAGCCCAAAGTCTAGCCAGCCAGCAGTCATGGCTTTATTATTAGTTACTGCGTGAACTAGTGGAAATGTTTTCTGTCTGGGAACAAGGACCTCTAGTCTATAAGAGCCTTAAATTGTGAGGACAGAAAGTATAAGCCCTGGAGTGAATTACTAGATGATAGTGAGTCTTAATCCTTCCCCTCTTTTTCTCAGGCTCATGTGTTCTACCAATGAGAGGAAGTAGCAATATATTCTGGCCATTTGTGTAAGGTATATAATGAGTCCTTAGGATAGGACCCATGCTTATGGGATGTCATCTCCCAGATGGTATCTCCACTGGGTGGTGGTTTCATTGCTTGGTTGGGCTGGCGGCCTTTTGATGGTAGTTATGTGATAAGACCAGTGGCCTTCCAAGGCCATAATGCTGATGAACGCACCATCTTTGACCTGCAGTGAATCCCTTTATTTGAGGTATGTCATGAGGGGCTCCGTATTTATAGACCAGACACTCCATGAACACTTGAATAGTAGTGCTGGCAGGCTGTGGTCCTGTGTGAAAAGAAAGGCAAATCATAGCCAAAATATATCTCAATCCCTGTCATAGTAAATTGTTGCCCTTTCCAGGAAAGAAAGGGTCTGGTGCCCCCAACTGGTCTCCAAGTGGCTGGCTTGGTCTCCTTGAGGGGATGGTACCCTGTGAGATTTCCTTTGCAGGCAGGTCAGACATACTTTCTTAGTAGCCTTGGTGAGCTACCCACACTGGGGGGCCAGGTTAGCCTACATCTCTCTCATCATGGCTACTCTTTTTGTGAGCCCACAGCACAGCCCTGGGGTGGTTAAGACCAGTGTCTGGCTGACGTCTACTGGTTGAGACATCCTATGCACTTTTGGTTGGTTAGTGTATCCTATGTAGTGCTCCTTGCCCTCCCTGTGCCCTCCGCCCCACCGCGATTGAGTATTGCTCTGGAAGGCAATTGGGGAAAGGATCAGAGGAGAGCGTCTTGCCCCTCCTGTAATAACTGGTGTTCCCCCTCACAGATCTGTCACAATGGACACTTTGGCAAGACTCTTCCCAATCTTTTCTGTGAAGTTCATGTAGGGTTCATGGGACAGAGCTTGCAGGAGGATGTAGACTTCCTCCTTTTCTACCAAATCCCGTCTTTCACACTGTCCTTGGAGCTTATCCCTGGCCTTCACTAATTCTTCAGTTATTCTACCTAATCTATTGAGATTGTGTCTCCCGCATAAGGGAGGACTATGTCTCCTCTCTCCTTGTAAGCACCTGTCTCTCCTCAGATTTGAGGCCCGACTTTTGCTCTGTGAATCAGCTTTTCGGTGAGGTTTTTAAAATTCATGAATTTGAACATAGTTGTTTGTTTGTGTTTTTTTTATAAGAGTGGGAGCAATACTTTTCCAGTTTATTATACATCCCAAGATGGAAGTCGAAGTTCTCTACTTCTGAGTTTTTAAATTTTGCTGATACCCTCATCAGTGTATTTTTTTCAACCTACTAGATGAAATGTCCTCTGGGCTCAGCCAAGGCACATTAATCAATTGGTGGGTGTTCTGGTTTTATTTATTAGATTAGCATATCTATGTCTTGAGCCTCTGTATCTTTTTCCTTCCTAATTTGCTTTGCTATTCTGGAATTTTCTAAGCTTCTGAGAAATCTTGGCAGAGTGTTGAGATGGACCTCTCAACCATTGCCAGTGTGTAAAACCTTGCATCATAGGATATATATATATCCTATGTAAGATATATATATATACATAAAATATATATATACCTTTCCTTTCTTTTCTATCCAACACCTAGGCATACTTTTCCAGATTTTGTAGCTCTGTTAGTGTACAATCTCTCTTCTCCCTCAGCAGGCCCAACACTACCCAGACCTCATAATCTTATTTCCCCTGTACCTCTTAACTGTGAGAGATACTGCACAAGCCAGTCATTCCTATCCTGTGCCATCACAGGAAACATGAGTATTTTAGCCCCTGGAGTGCTACAACATGCAAAGTTCTGTCAGTACTCTCCCTACAATTAATGATGTCAATGGTGCAGTCCTCAATGTCAACCAGCCAGCCAGCAAGTAATCCAACTCCACAATTCCATCCACAAATGTCTGCTTCCTTGGTCACTTTTAGTAGTAACTCTTAGGTGAGGTTCCCTAGAAACAGAGCCTGTGACAGGGATTTGAGTGCGCATGATTTATTGAGGGGATCTCAGGGAAAAGGAAATGGGGGAAACAGAAGAGAGCAGAGGAAGAAGTTAAGCAAATATGTGGTCTCAACTGGATTCTAGCCTCACCCTGGTCTCTTGGGGAAATACAGAGCATGAAGTACATCGGAGCTGGTCCAACCCTGAAGCAAGGGAGTCAGTTTTTTGTACTTTTGTGTCAGCTGGTCAGAGAGGAGTCTGTCTCCTTCTTCCTCCAGTGTGGGAGCTCCTATTTAGCCAATAATGCCGAAAGTACCTCTCCTGAGAAGGAACCGCTGTGTACAGTTGGTAACATGATAGCTGGAGTGTATGAGCATCAGCCTAGCTAGTGGATCTGTGCAGGACACCCACAGCATCACCGCAGTAGATGACAATGATGTGTATTATTATGTGTAAATGACAACTTGGGGCTTAAACAAAGTTCCTAAAGAGCACACTTACATTATTCAAAAGGTGTTGTTTCTCAAAAACCTTGGAAGTGTAATTAAGGTTCTGGGAATTCGGTTAGGTAACTAACAGTGGTTCTAATGATGACACCTATATTGAATGTATCTGGGAAAATGTGATTATAAAATCATTTTATGAAATGGAAGAGTGGAAAAATCATGCAAAATATAATATTTTACGTAATGTGTTATTTAAAATGCATATGAGGAGAGCATGGGTGGCTCAGTTGAGTATCTGACTCTTGGTTTTGGCTCAGGTCATGATTTCAGTCAGGGTTGTGAGATCAAGCCCCACATTGGGCTCCACACTCAGCGTGGAGTCTGCTTGAGATTCTCTCTCTCCCTCTCTCTCTGCACCCACTGCTCTCTCCCTCTCTGAAATTAAATTAAATTAAATTAAATTAAATTAAATTAAATTAAATTAAA